CCCGTGGAAATAAGGCCTACGCGCTGATGAGAGGGGGCTATCGAGAAGTCGAAAGGGAAAAAGAACGGGGGAAAACGCAAAAGAGAAAAAAAAATCCTTATATATTAAAATGCAAAGTTCCGAATCTTGGGGCATTAACTTTGAGAGAACCACCGGACCGATTTGCGTGATCTTTTATTTAAATGAAAGCCCCTGAGCTGTAGATTTGCAGGCTGTGATCGTTTTTTCGATTTTCTCAAATTTTCTCCCATAATTTTCTCAAATTTTCTTCGATGCATTAAAACGGAGGTCCGAATCTTTGGACGTTAACTTTGAGAGAACCACTGGACCGATTTGCATGATTTTTGTTTTAAATGAAAGCCTGTGATCTGTAGATTTGCAGGCTGTGATTGTTTTTTCGATTTTCTCAAATTGTCTTACTTTTATCGACGAGTGAAGTTTAGCTGGGCTCAAATTTTCTCCCATTTATTCAGACTAAAGTCCGCATTTTGGGACATTAACTTTGAGAGAACCACCAGACCGATTTGCATGGGGTTTTTTTTAAATGAAAGCTTCTGATCTGTAGATTTGCAGGCTGTAATTGTTTTTTCGATTTTCTCAAATTTTCTTACTTTTATCGACGAGTAAAGTTCAGCTGTTTCGAGCGGTCATCTGGCCGCTACCTGCTTGCCCGTCCCTAGATACCCCCCTCTAGGATCCCAGCCACCCCTCCCACCTCGTTCTTTCGGCTATCTCCGTTTTCTTTCGTATAGCTTTCCTCCCACCAACCTCAAAGAAGGTTTGGGTCGCATTGTCGTTCGTCACTCACTACCCACATTCCGTCGCAATCTCTCGGCTACTCCGCTTCACCACTTCTTGATAGGCACCCTGGCGATTTGACTGACCCTGACTTATTAACTGCAGCGGTGCGCACACGTATTGCTCACAACATGTATTGTTATGGACATTTCATTCTTATTTGTTCTTTTCTCTTTCCAAATTTGTTTCAAATTTGCTTGATACTTCGTTTCTTCCTCTCTCTTTATTTTGTTGGTCGGTCGACTACGTTGATCGGCTTTTTGCTATTGAAAGCACATTAAGACTTCATGGATTTTCAATATCATCATTTGATTTTCCGGAATCGCTTCCAATTAACCTGAATCTTTAAGGGTCGGAGCCTGACTCTCCTCCCCCTAAAACTATGATTCCATGATTTCTGCCGCTAACCCAGAGCAACATCAAATTATTTCTGAAATAATTAGTCTCATCCAAAATCCATCTTACACGTGTAATGCGATTTTCATTGATGGTCCAGGAGGATCGGGAAAAACTTTCATTTAAGAATGTCTTACTGCGTATTGTACAAAGGAAAACTTAGACGTCATCTCCGTTGCTTGGACAGGTATCACCGCATCGTTGCTACCTAACGGTCGGCCGGTTCATGGCAAATTCAAAATTCCTTCGGTTCTGAATGAGAATTCTGTGTCGAGTCTGACGGTTAGCTCAAGGGAGGCTGAGACTATTCGGAAAACAACGATCATTTTTTGGGGTGAAGCTCCCATGGCTATCACGCATGCTCTGGGATGCATCGACCGGTTTCTTAGAGAATGGGTAATGATATCCCTTTTCGAGGAAAAATTGTCGTCTAGGGTGGTGATTTTAGACAGGTTTTACCCGTTGTTCCGCATGCTTCTCGCCAAACATTGGTGCAAAATGCAATCAAATTCTCACCACTTTGACCCCTTTTCAAAATCAGAAAACTTACTCAAAATATGAGAACTTTGCAAGACGAAGCGGAGTTTGCAAAATTTTAACTCGAAATAGGTGATGGTGTTTACCTTCCTGCTAAAAAAGGCCATGCCGGAATTCATTGATTTACCGACAAGCAGTATTACTGAAACTGATATTATTACTGAAATTTATGGAAAAGATAGCTTCCTCATGTTCGAACGTAGATTTCACTAACTGCGCAATTCTGGCCCCTAAAAATAAGCATTGCAATGAAATTAACGACAAGGTTGTTGAAGTTCTTTCAGGTGTCTCTAAAACGTACTTCAGAGTTAACAGGCTCATTGTAGAGAAAGAGGGAGAGGCTCTCAATTTTTCCCTCGAATTCTTGGACAGTCTTAAACTTAGTGGCTTACCACCGCATAAACTCACACTTTTGGAGGGGGTTTTTGTCATGCTTTTAAGAAACCTCAACGTTTCTAAAGGTTTATCGAATGGTACCCGATTAATCGTCTGGAAACGTTATGAAAATTGTCTTGATTTGCAGGTCATTTCCGGCGAGAAGGCCGGTGAAAGAATTTCACTGCCAAGAATTGATTTTTCACCTGCAGACTCCTCTCTCCCTTTCTCTTTTAAGAGGCGACGATTTCCAATTCGCATTGCGTTCTGCATGACCATCATCAAAGCTAAGGGTCAAACACTGAAGCGAGTCGGCATTTATTTACCCCAAACAGTTTTTGGCCACGGTCAACTATATGTTGCACTCTCACGAGCTACATCGTACAAAAATTTTGAAGTCCAAATTCTTCCCAAAGGCAACCGTACAAAAAACATCGTGCACAAAGAGGTGCTTCGATCTTTTATAAATCCCAAAAGCCTCATTAGTCATTAGAAAATTATCAAAAAATAAAAATAAAAAAAAATTAAAAAATAACACACAAAAAAAGAAAAACTAATAATGCGAGCTTTTTATAACATTTTTCGGTAGAATGGCAGTCTTCACCCTGTAACGCAGAGAGGCAGTTAAATTCCTTGATCCTCTGCCGCAGAATCATCATCATTATTAAATAGATTCAACTAATCGCTCCGATTCCAAATAAGCTACTGCACCACCATTGCTAGCTGTGGAGGGCGCCCGTAGCAGCTAGTTCTCTCTTAAAATTCAACATTTTCTGGAGCGGCCTCCCGCAACCTTCTCTCGGACGCCGAGGGGGGGGGGGGTTAGGGGCGCCGACAACATCCGTGCCCAAAAGTTCACGCCATGGTTCTGCAGTTTCAGTACAAAGCTTGTACTTCGATGACGTCTTGGATTTCGTAGGATGTTAAGTAGGGCTCACTGACGAGTGTGATCTACTGACAAGGTCTTTAAAGACCCAAAATTACAGATCTCTCGGTGTGACTTCAACTTAATAGTCCAATGCAAATTGCCTGATCTGAATGCTCTTCCCCCTCAGTTATGTACTGCCGTACTGGTGCCCATTAGAACTCAAAATTTTTTACTCCAATTGAAAATGTTTGAACATTTTGGTTTTGTTTTCCCCCACAATAGTGTGGACCCAGCACTATTTTATCACCTTGCCACACAGTTCGGGTCACGTTTGTAGGGTTTTTTCTCTCTTTTTTCTTGATTTGTGAGGAAAATGGTTGGCATTATCACATTTTAAGGGCGAAGCTAATAATAAACTGCTGTACCACAGGATTAAGCCAAGCTTTGAAACTTTTGACATATGCTTTTTGGAAGTAAATTTTTCGCTCTTTTCGATGAGTTCAACAGTTTTTTTCTCAGATAATCTTGGCTTGAGACATGAACCAAAGTTTCTCCAAACATCAGCAAAAATGCGCCTTTTTTAAGCTAATTTGAAGAAATCGTCAATTTTACGACCAAAAAGTGCTAGGACGAGTACCTACGTAAAGGAGGGTGATTTCGGGAGAAAAGTTTAAGCTCTTTCTGCTGGTTTTTTTCCGTAAGATTAACCGTTGAAGAGATATTACCAAAAAACTGATGAAGGGTTTTCTCGATTTTGAAAAATTCAAAATGGCGGCGCCCTGAGCACCAGACAACTTTCCTGAAGTTGTTATAGGCATTTCTGGACTTTCATATATCCCCTAGGAATCGAAAAACATTGGTTTGTTTAAGAGGACAAACCAAAACCCAGAATTTGTTGTGCGGTGTAATACATGCTTAGAATTGTTGAGGAAATCTCTCGACCAAATGGCGGCCGGTCACAGTTCAAAATGGCGGAAATGTGACATCTCCGTTGTTTATTGACGGAGAGGCGTGACACTCAGAATTCTACGGTTTTCCGAGACGAGAAAAACGATTCTGGCATTGCTTTTCCAGAAAAGTCAGTCCTATTAAAAATGGCGGCGATCAAAATGGCGGTCTAGAGCAGGAAGTGGATACTTCGGCTGCTTATTGTTGGATTTGCATGAAACTTGATATCCGGGGGTATTTCGGCACCAGAAGAATGAATCTTTCATTGGATATCTAAAATTCCGACAAATTTCAAAATGGCGACGGAAAAATGGCGGTAATCAGTTTTACGGCTGTTTACCGATAAATTTGCATGGATTCGATATCCTGGTGGTTATTGGCTGGATAAAAAGGAATCTTTCATTAGATTCTTGAAATACTAAATAATTTTTAAAATGGCGGCGGAAAAATGATAGAAAAATCGGTATTATGGCCGTTTCCCGATGGGTTTGCATCAAACTCGTTACTTAGAAGGCTTTTGGCTCGAGGGTAGAACCCGTATCAGACGATCAAAGTAGAGGCTTCAAAGAGGTTCATGGATGCCTTTCCTGGCCCTTTCATTGGCCAGTGGTGTAAGTCGGGGCAATCGATGAATCTCTTGGAAGTCTCTACTTTGATCGTCTGATACGAGCTTAATGAATCTTGCATCGGATTTTTGAAACGATGAATTTCGTCAAAATGGTGGCGGAAAAATGGCGGAATTAAAATCCGTATTTCGACCGGTTTCCACAAGTCCTAAGCTCCGTCATGAATCCATCCTTATTATCGAGCCAAAAACCACCAGGATATAGGATTTCATGCAAATCCATCGGTAAACAGCTGTAAAACTGATTTCCCGCCGTTTTGAAATTTGCAGGAATTTCAGATATCCAATGAAAGATTCATTCTTCTCATGCCGACCAAGTTTCATGCAAATCCAACGATAAGCAGCCTATATCCACATCCCTCTCTGGACCGCCATTTTGACCGCCACCATTTGGGAAAGGACTGGCTTAAAAGTATGTAATTAAAAATATGGTGGATATGCCAGAACACACTATTGCAGATGAAAGTACTTTATTAATAATTCTTTTTTACAATATTAGGAGTTCATCTTCAATAAATAAAAAAGTATGAATATGCTCTTAAAATAAAAGGTAACTTCAAAGGAAGAAGCTATCTTGACTGGAGGCTTCTCGTATTTCTGCAAAACAACTGTTGCTGCCGTCAAGTTGCATTGTAATCCAGCAATTTAAAATGTCTGAGCACGGCAAATTAAAACTTGCAAAGGCTGCCCCAATCTGAGATTGGTGCTGAAACTTTCGGCTTCCCATGTTTAATTTTAATTCTCATCCTTTTTCCACAAAAAAAAAACACCTAATATAATTTAGATGAAAAGTATAGATCACATAAAAAATGCGAGCACGAACAAGTTAGTCTCATCTCGTCACTCTATGACACAAATCTTGTTGCTATGGTTATGCCTGCTATCAGACAACCCCTGAACAGTGTTGCTGGGTTGTATTTTAGATTGCCAAGTGTATTCAGACCGTAGAGTTTTGTAGAAAAGAGCTTTTTTCCAGAATGAAAATCATCAGAAGGGAATAATTTTTTTGTAGTAAAGTTTTGTAAATTCATGTGAAAATAAAGTAAACGTGGAGTTAATTGATAGGAAATGAGTTGCTCTTTCCAAGACAACCCAGATCAGCTCTCTAGCTGGCTTCATTTAAAGGCTACATCATCAGTCTCGGTTATTTTGGGACAGTGTTGGTAGGAAAGCTTTTCCTTGAAACTATGTTTTCTAAGTTACATACTTCAAACCAACTTCGCAATATTCTTCCTGAGCCAAAGTGTTTTTCAGAGACTCCTCTAACCAATGGTGCCAGTACATCAAAATCAAGCTGAACAAAGATGGAAAGAATCCACATTGACTAGATTGATAAGCAACAGAAATGTGGGCGAGTTTACAAGACACAAAACTTAAAACTTATCAACCAACTGAAGAATGTGTTCTTGTTCTTGATATTTCCAATCAGAATCCTCAGCATCACCCAAATTACCAGCATACTCTGAAACAGAAGAGCGTAAATGAAAAATGAAATTCACCTGCTTCTCCCTTTTGTTATCCGTAGGTGCATACCAGCTTTAAACAAACGTTTTATGGCATTTTTTTAACCTCAACTAATTTTCGTAGAATCCTTGCAGATTTATTGTTACGTAGTTTTTTAATGCTCAAAAAAACCTTGTCACCTGTGTTACCTAAAAGTCTAATTAATGTAATTATCAAACCACTTAATTCTTTTGAGGTTCATAAGCAGGGAAGCAATCTTTTTTTTTTTGTGATTTCAACAAAACTTAAAGTCGCAAAGTCCCCCCCCAAAAAAAAAAAAAAAAATACACAAAAAGAATATAAAAAATTCCAAAGAGAGGTATTTAATCTCCAAATTACACGAAATGACAATGGACCAAAAGTCAGGGTATTAAATTAGGCACCACAATACAGGTTGCCTTCTTGAAATCATATGGAAAACACGATGGATACATTAAAACTTTCCAAATTCTATTCATAAATGAGAAAACATCGGTACCAGTCCATGTTCGTCCACTTTTTCCACTCAACAAATTAGTATCCAGCCAAATAGAGCATTTAACTGACTTCAGTATACTTTTTTTTCCAGTGGTTTATTCAGCTTGTATTCCTTGAAAATTTTGGCGGAATCTACAGCCATTTATAGACCGAAGGAGTAGTAGTAGAGAGTATTTAGTAGAGAAGAGGAGACTTGGTGGTTCATTGTTATGGGGCTATAGGGTAGTTCTTAGGGATTTATAGGTTTTGAATGAAGGGTAAGTTTATACCATCACCTTTACATGCTTCAGGCCCATAGAGGCAACTTCCTGGTCCAGCAGACTGAGTCATGGAAAACATATATCTGACTGAAATATGAAGGATTTGGGTATGGTTCTGTAGGTCTGGAGTGTAGGGTATATTTTTAATTACCAATTAGGATTACTTTCTTTCTTTTTTTGATGTTACTATTCACAGTTGATTTGATTTATTAGTTAATAGATTGATACTAGGGGGCTACGCCCCCTGGCCGCTACGCGGCCCAACCCCCTGAAGGCGCTCCGCGCCATCAATGGGCCGCTTCGCAGCCCTATTTTTACTCTCCTATCGGTGTTAGTTTTATTTTTCCCCTAAAAAATTACGATATGAGGTATACTTTACTTTCAGAATGAAATAATTTTTGGTTTTGATGAATAAAGAAACAAAAATTTATTTTGAAGTCTAAAGGACGCGTTTCGGAATGATTGCTTGATGAAATATTGCAGTAAAACAACGAACAATTTTAATCAGGTAATAATTAAGTTTATCGGGAGACGGGGATCGAACCCACACCTTGATCTAGGTGGACGCTTCCTACGTCTTTGACGACTTGACCACCGCTCGTCTTGAGGAGGTTAGGGCGAATCTTGTGTAGATAAGTGTAGAGCTGATGCGCAGGCTAAACAGCTACTGCGCAACCTCCTCGACCACTGCGCATCCTCCTGCGCATAGCGGTAGCAGTACCGGAGCATTCTATAAACTCACTCACTTTTATAACGTGATTTTAAAAAAACCTGGGTCATTTTTCCAAAATCTGATTGCAGCGGGCTCATCTAGGGCCTATTACCTGTCGATTTACGCAAAAATCATGGAAATCGGCCCGGTAGAACGCTCAAACGAACTATGACAAAAAGTATAAATTTACATTGTTTAAATGGGAGAATTCGCAACTTTACCACGTAATATAAAAAAACCTGGGCCATATTTTGAAAATCTGAAAAGAGTTGGCTTATCTAGAGACAATTGCCCGTCGATAACCGCAAAAATCATGAAAATCGGCCCGGTAGAACGCTGGAACTAAGCGTTACCAGTTTCACAAAATTAGGAGGTCTTGGAGCTTATAGTATAGATTATGTACTTTGTTTTGAGAATTTTGCAATTATTTTAAATGTTTTTACTCTGGAGTTATTCCTCATAACGGGGATATTGAAGGGAGGGAGAAAGTTAATTTTTTCAGATAGTATTCCAGTTTTTCCTGAATTTTAGGTTTTTACATTTGAATAATTCTCGGTACATTTTACTACGCAAGAATTTTTCTGTGCACTGATTTTTTTGGGACAAGACTAAGAATTAAAACTGGAAACTCTACAAAAAATCACCGCAACTCAGGACTTCCTTGACATTGCATTTGGAATGTCCTTGACATTCAGTCTGAATTTTAAGACTTGACTCAAAACTCCTTCACCCTCTCACAGTCTCCTCCAGCCTTTCAAAAGACTTTTGTTGAGGAAATAGCAAGAGTGTCCTCAAGAGGTCTTATGATCTATTCATAAATATTATGAAAATATATATATAAAATTTTGATTGTTCTGTTTTATTGCTGTACATTTCAATTCTTCGATGATTATATGCCAGGAATGGGGAGAAATAGGAGTGTAGGAATGAAATTTTACTTATTTACTAGATTATCCTTCTTTTTCCAGAAATATTTCCAAATAATTCACAGTTAATCTATGCAATTTTTCCTTTCTAAGAAAGACATGAGATCATGGCTGTTCACTTTCATCCATGCTGTCTGACCATTTTTCCACCATTTTCCTGCAAAAGGAGGAAAATTTGCCAAAAGAGGAGTTTACGGCAAAAGGAGATTGTAATGCATTTTGAGCAGGTAGTCAGTAAACAATAAAAAACGCATCACCAATAATTTTTTTCAATATTATTGTGCTTTTCTGCGATTTTCGTTCTTTCCCAGGGTGCTTGAGGGATTTTGCAGTTTTTCTTAGGTTCTCACCTACTGCATGTCCTCGAGGATTTGGCCTCACAACGATTTTGAGTTGAGAATATTTCTAAGCTACTTGAGCTACTAGATGCTTGATAATCATTAATTTCTCTCATTCGTAAGTCAGAAACTTTTGTTCATCGAAAAATGTTAATTTCCCTCTCTACCCACTGTTTTCGTCCTTTCTCTTGCCTCCTCTAAAAAATTCCAATCTGCCGTCAGAGAGAAACGTCGTTTGCAGGGAGGCTGTATATAGAGGTACGTCCTACTATACAAAAGTGAACTTTTTTAGGAGGCTTTGTAAGGAGATCCTCTTAGGGGTAGGCCATACTACACAACAGGAAACCATTTTAGGGGGTTCTTTTAAGAGGCCATTTTTAAAAGGCCTGTTACATTTCCACGAAAACAAAATCACTCAGATATTTAGCAACTTAAGTTTTACGTTTACACTCAGCTATTCTCTCTGTGCTCCAGCAATGAATCTGCAATTAATTATGTAATTATTTGTTACTAAATAATATTTTATCATTATCATCAATATAATTTTTTTTTTTTTGACTGGACTCGACCAATTGGTGACCTTGACATGATTAATATAAAATAAAATTGAAGAAAAGGACCCCGCACGGTTCTTATGGAAAATTGCCCTCGGTCAAATGCGTTGAAACTTCAGTATGTTGTGCAGCATGTCATCGTGAACAAAAGTTCCAATAGGCCAAACAAGATCCCATGTGCGGTTTTCGAGATATTCGCCGTTTTATGTGCGTAAACGGAGGTTTCGCGCGCTCCCGCCGGAGCCATACCATTGTGCGGCGCCGCTCGTGCCCTTCCCTCCCAGTCACTCTCCGCTGCCCCGCCGCCCATACCTTGGCTCCTCTATCGCTCCAACTACGACGCTCACGAGGCTGCGCCCATCATTACCGGACCGCGCCCGCACGCCGTCTTCTTACGCGGCCTCTTCTTCGGCCATGTCGCCTCTTTTTCTCAGCGATCCTTTCTCTAAGTCTTCAGAAACGTTTAAGAAGTCCATTTTTACTAAACATGATAATGCTAATAACACAAATAATACAAAAAGAGAGGAAAAACAAATGATAATCCATGCGAAAGTACGTAGGAGAGTTGGAATGCCTAAGAGACGTTGAATAAAACAAACTTTTTTTTATTGTCTTCCCTCTTCCTTTCTTTCTTTTTTTTCTTCATTTTTCTCATGTGGAAGCAGTGAAAGTAAATTCTGTCGGAAGATGATGTTGATGTTTTTTCTTTTGTTTTTTCTTTCTTTCAATAATGACGTGGCGGAGGTTGAAGGTAATTAGTCGGCTGACGATGCCCAAGTATAGGAATTAAGTCTGCTTTAGTCTTGACTTAGCTGAACCGCACCAATGGAGGAGGAGAGAGGGATCATTAATAACTGAACTCTAGGAAGAGAGATGTCCATTTAGGCGTAAATGGTCACATTTTAAGTCGCTCCAACTTGCAGCACCACCTTATCAGCCATCTTATTTTCTGCTGATCGTATCCTCTGATCAGATTGTACAGCCAAGACGAACTCCAAAGAGATGATGAACAAGAGTTGCAGGTCGATCGTAACATTCATGCGCGTTCGCGGCTTTTTTGCGAGTACGAGTTTACGATCGGCGATCAGAACCCTCGACCTTCGAAAGTTACTTAGGGATTTTCTTGCAATGGTCTTCCAGCCGCATCTTTAATGTCTTTTTTATGGAAGCTGGAGAAAACTCGTACTCACAAAAATCCGCGTACGCGCATGAATGTTACGATCGACCTGCAACTCTTGTTCATCATCTCTTTGGAGTTCGTCTTGGCTGTACAATCTGATCAGAGGATACGATCAGCAGAAAATAAGATGGCTGATAAGGTGGTGCTGCAAGTTGGAGCGACTTAAAATGTGACCATTTACGCCTAAATGGACATCTCTCTTCCTAGAGTTCAGTTATTAATGATCCCTCTCTCCTCCTCCATTGGTGCGGTTCAGCTAAGTCAAGACTAAAGCAGACTTAATTCCTATACTTGGGCATCGTCAGCCGACTAATTACCTTCAACCTCCGCCACGTCATTATTGAAAGAAAGAAAAAACAAAAGAAAAAACATCAACATCATCTTCCGACAGAATTTACTTTCACTGCTTCCACATGAGAAAAATGAAGAAAAAAAAGAAAGAAAGGAAGAGGGAAGACAATAAAAAAAAGTTTGTTTTATTCAACGTCTCTTAGGCATTCCAACTCTCCTACGTACTTTCGCATGGATTATCATTTGTTTTTCCTCTCTTTTTGTATTATTTGTGTTATTAGCATTATCATGTTTAGTAAAAATGGACTTCTTAAACGTTTCTGAAGACTTAGAGAAAGGATCGCTGAGAAAAAGAGGCGACATGGCCGAAGAAGAGGCCGCGTAAGAAGACGGCGTGCGGGCGCGGTCCGGTAATGATGGGCGCAGCCTCGTGAGCGTCGTAGTTGGAGCGATAGAGGAGCCAAGGTATGGGCGGCGGGGCAGCGGAGAGTGACTGGGAGGGAAGGGCACGAGCGGCGCCGCACAATGGTATGGCTCCGGCGGGAGCGCGCGAAACCTCCGTTTACGCACATAAAACGGCGAATATCTCGAAAACCGCACATGGGATCTTGTTTGGCCTATTGGAACTTTTGTTCACGATGACATGCTGCACAACATACTGAAGTTTCAACGCATTTGACCGAGGGCAATTTTCCATAAGAACCGTGCGGGGTCCTTTATTCACAAGGTTATGTGTGAAAAATCCTGTCATCAAATGAAATTGTTCAGGGTAGTTAGCATGCGCTTCCACTCAATCGTTTCATTCATTATAGTTCCAAATAAAAGGGTCCATTTCCAGAATTTTGGTATACCTATTTTTTCATTGTGATCCATTGAAACCTAGGCTAGTACATTTGGGTTTCTTAACAATGAATTTTTCGAGTATCTAGGAGTTAGCTACATGACTCAACCGCCGCACGGTGGATCGAAACCCGCAAAAAGTCGGACATGGGCGATTCTCACAAATAGTCATTTCATTGATGTAAATGTCTTCCCAAAGAGTTATATTTTATGATACAGGTATTGGTTTTCAATTTTTTAACCCCAGTTTAACGCACACAGCCTCCTAAAGTGGCTCAGGCGGCACTCGAAAAATGTTGCCTCACTCGGGACAAACCGTTCGCCTGTTGGTATTTCCCTCCGATAGATTTATGACAATTTCTGACTAAAGTAGCTTGTCCTCCTCCTTAAGTAGAATATATTTCACTAATAACAAGTTAAAATATCGCTATGTTTATAAGCGGTATTCTTGCTTAAAAGTACCCTCCTCAATACCGTAAAAATAATAATATAGCTAGACTTTTAACTAGCTATTTCAGCGTATTTCAGGGAAACCTTTGTATAGCAGTGTTAACTGATCCCTGAAGATTCATTATCAAGAAAAATTGGCTGCTCCAAAGTGCCCTTTTGGGAATAAAGCTTAAATGATTTTGAAAAAGTGAAGTTCATAAAATGGTGGCTCGAGAGAATTCGAATTTCACAGGTCTGTGGCGAATAAACACCGGGCATTTGATAGATGATCTGTAAGTAATTTTTAGTGCTGAGCCCGAAAATGACCTTGGTTTTTCTCCAACACCCACCGATTTTCCGGAAAATTGAGATTTTCCACTTAAAATGGACTTTTCGGGAAATGTGATTTTCCGGAAAACTGGTGCATGGTAAAGAGAAACCAAGGTCATTTTCGAATCCAGGAGACAAAAATACATGAGAAAACATGCCTTGCGTGGTTAAAAAAATGTCCACGTTGTTTCAGATAACGGGGTTTTCCTCTCAAATGTCCTAATCGACGCATATGATACTGATGCGTTTGTTTTGCGTCTGAAAAGACGGGAAAATTATATCAAGTTGGTGTCTAATGGAGCATTTTTCATCTACTACTTGATGCTAAAGTCAAACATGGCCTAAATTATTTTCTATCTTCTAACTATTTCCCAAAAACTCGCGTTTTTTGACATCGGATTTTTTTTTTTTTTATGTTTAATTTCTTCGGAAAATTAGAAGTTAATAGAGAAAATTGAGGTAATTTGAGCTTCAGCAGCAATCATTAAGCCGAAGAAGCTCCATTAGATACCTAAGTATAAATAAAGGCAGTGTACAATGGTGACTCGCGGGGCCCTTCATTAGGAAGGCTCGGATAATACATGATTTGTGTTGATTGATGTGTATTTGATTTGTATTTTTCTCTCATATTTTTCCCCCTTGTCATTTTCTTTTCTTAGAAAGCTAAAAAGGTGCCCCAGGAATGAAGGGGAAAGGAGATCCTCTGTTTTCCTCTCAACATTTTCGGATTTCTATTAATTCATTTTTTGGGGGAGAGGAGGGGGAATGGTAAAAGAGATGAGTAATATACGTTTTATATACGATATTTAAACATTTTACCGGAGAGAAAAGTCCATTGAACACTTAAAACTTCGATTGAAATGAGTGTAGAAAGTTTAAACTTATCTGTTGTTAAACAATATCTCTTTAATTAATGTGAAATTGTGCCAAAATACATATCTAAACCCAATAATCAGGAAAATAGTCATCAAAAATGAAATCTGCGACGAAAAATACATAAGAATCATGTATCCTGATTTGTTTTATGAGCGCAAACACTACGTAAATGAGCAAACCAAGTCGCGTGATGTGCCATGTCCGGCCTGCCCTATGACTCGATCCACCGTGCGCCGACCTGGACTGTTTCTGGAGTGCTTTCCTCTAGGCAGGCTGTTTTCACCACAGCTAAGAGCCCTGTCTCCCTTACCTGTGTGGTTTATGAGTGAAAAGTTACGAGATGGCAGGTTCCTTGTTTAAAAACGAGGAACCTGCCACATATATGAGAGTAATCACTATGTCACAGAAATTCAAGATATTGAATGGAGGTTTTTTAAATGGTACCCCTTCTTTTTTTGACGGGTTGAATTTATGGATTGTAACTTTGGCTTGAAGTTTGTACGGACGCCATTCCAAAACACAAAGTGATCTTAATATTCTGGAGAGGTGATGCGAGATCAATGACAATGGTGGTTTTGATATGAGTACAAAAATAAAAATTTACCTCGCATTACATGGCGGATAGTTTTGAGAGAGCCACCACGCAGATTCAAAATTTGCATTACTCTTTGCTTGATCGATGATGCACCACTTGCACATGCTTCAAGAATGATATAGTCAACAAGTTGAAGAGTAAAAAGGCCCTCATCTAACCTTCGGATGTAAATTTCATCATCTGTTAAAGCGTCTTGTCCCAAGTACTATAAAAGATAAAATAATACATAAAATAAAAATAATTATAAAATAACCTATGGAAATCCCTTTCCATAGGTCAAGAAGGTCAAAAGGTTCCATAGGTCCCTTTCCATAGGCAGATCAATTTATACACTGCAAAGCAGGCCATGCCACTGCTAATAACTGGATAGTGTTTCCATTGGATTAAGTTCTTGGAATAACCATCTGCCGATAGATTGGGTGAGATCCGAAACTCGCACAGAATTTTTTTCGGAAAATCCCAGTTATTTCGGAATTTTTTCGATTTGGGACCAAAATTTTTGCCGTTAAAAGCGATTTTCTGTAAAAAGGGTTTCATGCCTGAATGTTTCACATTGTTCTCATGGGCGACAAGACGAAACCGCGCGAAAATAACGATAAAAGCGGCTTTCTGTTATAAACTGGGGTCATAATATGCACTTTCTACTACACTTTTTAAGTGTACAGTCTCATCTTACTTATTTTCACTGAACAATTTATTGTAACCTTAAGGAAGATTTTCAGCACTATGGAAATTGAATAGTGATAGAATAATTGATCATTTCTGGATTATGGGCCATTTCTTAAAAATCTCTAAGTATCAAGTCTGCAAGGCCAAAAGGAGATGGACACCCAATGATATTACGGCAGATCTTTCTGAGGATTGTGGTGTCTGCGCGCAGATTTTAGAAACCACCTTGGTTGACGCGTAACCAAGAAAAAAGTCCACAAGGTATTTGTACACAAAATTTGACCAAAACACACTTTGAAATATCTCCGAAAGTATGTCTTAAGAGATCACCTTGAACTGTTTTGCCTTCTGGCTGGCGATATTTACTCAATAGGTACTTTTAAAGCTAATTCAAAATGCTCCTCAAAGTTGTTCCTTAAATGTTTCATCAGACAAATCTTGTCCGCAAATATCTGCAGGCCTACAATGTTATGCGGCGCTTGGAAATTATGACAATATGTCCTAAAATCCAGAAATTGTTCATTAACTAGCCAACTAACAAAGTGTTTTTCAAAGTGCTGAAGATCCACATTAAGCCTCTCCTGTTTTCTATACATGTAACTTATTTACATGAGCAAAACATGATAACAACATGACTCACCTGCTTCATCTGTTTCTCGATTTGTTTATCTGCTTCTTCAACTTTATCTAAGTATTTAAAATGAAGTTCCAAGAGTCTATCTACTTTTTCATGATCGTTTTCCGTGAATTTACTAAGCAGCCTTTGCCGTTGTGATGATTTGCAGTTCTTCAGCATACTAGCAATTATTGAGGTTACATGTTCTGAGAAAGAAAGAAAGTGGTAAAAATTGAGTGCAAGAGTATAGACAGAAGAGTTATTTAGTCACATAAACAGTACTAATAATAAAGCTTTAAAAATAAATTATCAACACAAAGTGTTCCATCTGCTACTTACACGTACTATGTCATTGATAACGCAATCATGATCGCGTGAGAATTGGAGAAGGCTGTGAAAATTGGGAGAGGTTTTCTTTTTTTAATCCATCTTGATCGGTTTTGCAGACAGCTCACGTAAAAACACAAATACGATGAGATGTCAGGCTGCTTTAAGAGCTAAAAGTCTTTCAAGCACGCTACTTTTGGGGGAGGAGACTGTGAAGCGCTTTGTTTCGTGTGAAGGTGCATTTAAAGCACATCAAATGGGGACGGCACATTTTAAATAGGGGAAGACAATGAACTTTCCGCACCCCTGGCTGGTTATACCTCATTTTTTCATTGGTCTTAAAAAGATTGAATGGTCTTGGCAGGTCTCTGCCAAAGACGAAAAAGAAAAGAGGAAAGCGGAAAGCCAAATTTAACAGAATGAATACCTTGATGGGATTGGGTGGAAATTTTATTACAAGGACCAATCAGTATTGGCAAAGCAAACATGCCGGCTTAATTAAAATTCTCAATGATGTTGGCTCTTCATTACTATGACACACTATCAGTTCAATATCACTACTTTCGGTTACTTGACCAAAATTTAAAGGTATCTAGGTGATAGAAAAAGGTATTGGTATGAGGTTCATATGAAAATACTAGGATCAATGTGCCATTCATTTTGCTACTGTAACCGTGGAACCCTCTTAATAGGGAGTCTAATGTGAGAGAAACTTAACAATATTAGGGTGAAATGGAAAAAAAATAGAAAACAGAAAATGAAAAAGGACATTATAGAAAAAGGAGAATTAAAGCACATTTGATGATGAGAAAACGCAACCAGATCCTTCAGGGTGAGGAGTACAACAGTTTTTCTCCTTAGAAAAAAAGAGCCCCGATATAGGTTTAGGACGGTAACATTTTTTTAGGTACAGCTGCAAAATAGAATTAATTTTGATTTTACGCCACTAGAGACTGCTCCTAACAGAGCCCTACTTTGTCCTCCTATAGACAGCCAGGAATCATTCCCTCTCTGCCGCCAATGCTGCGTACCCTTTGGAGGACTGTTAAATTTCGCTTATGAAACATTCTTTGTGATCCTGGTGGTTGGTACCAGAAAGAGAGCTAATAACAGGATCCATGCTGAAAATATCGTCAGCAAAAACGTAGGACTATGAAACGTAATTACAAATTGATATTTTCAGCAAAAAACCTTATAGTATCCCTCTCTTTTGCTAAACCGATTGGATCCGTCACAGCACTGGATCCACTAATTCACAGGTGCTCATGCAGTACGTAATTGGTATTACCTGCACCAGTAGGATTAATGATGGACCTCATTTTGCAATTCGGAACTACAATTTCTGGCTCATTCATAAAAAATCGTTGTTTTTAAACAAAGCCAGAAATTGTAGTTTCTAATTGCAAAATGTAGTCCACATGAATAGATTTAACCAGAATCAGCTTAACTGCATCTACCGTTCCTGATTCTTTTCTGATTTTCAACTCCTTAAACAGAAAATTAGCAGAACTTGAAATTTTGTTTGTACGTTCTTATTTATAAGTAAGTTAATTTCACAGAGGATCAAAGGCGTTAGATAAATTATTCAGTTTCTTACTAAAAAAGTTGGACTACATTTTTAAATTAGGAACTACAATTTGCAGCTTATTGATAGTTTGGAAACCACGTATGTACCATTACATTCCCTATGCACATGAGATTTATGACGGATGGGCCAGAAATTGAATTTCCCAACTACAAAATGAAGTCAAATTAAACACTAGAGAAAATTTAGCAACATGAAATGCAGTTAAGTTCCGTCCGGAAAGGTTCGTCTAAATTATCATAAAATTAACAAGTTTTAAAGGTGATGACATTGAAAAGATCAAAGCAAAATTTATGGGAAATACCTTCGTGCTCTTCCACCGTAAGCATCCTTTTCCTATTTTTCTTGGGAGTTTTCATGAACAGTGGAAAAATTGTTCGTAGTCCTAGAATGTCAACAAACTTGTTGCAATTATCAACACCATTTGGTCCAGACATAGCGTGGTCTAGCACTTTTAGTGATCCATTGCGACTTTGTTTCTTCTCTCTGTGGATTAGAAACATGAAGGGAATAATTCAAAACATAGCAAAGCAACAAGTATACTCCATCGATACAAATGAAATTAAATTGAATGACTTCCGAGTAGTCTGATTGTTGTGATGATTTCCCTCTTCCCTCACTCGAAAACTTAATGATAGAGCAGCTGAATAATATGCTGGATAAGCTCGGCATCCCAAAACACACCTTACAAAAAATGCAAAAAGCTGTCACAAGTGTCACACTCTATACATGCCACATAGTTGCTATAAAGGAAAGAAAGGACAACACAAGTACGTTCTTATCAGCAACTATATTCTCGAAAAGACAGACAGTGTTGCCTCAGTGTGATCAGTCTCGGTCTACCAATAACAGCAAATCAACAACTCATTTCTTTCTCCAATTGATGACGAATTGTAATTTATTTCGAAACTTTTTGGGTTTCTTTGATTTATCTTGTTTTGTTGAGCAACATTTACCCAAATTTACGTATTATTTTATGTTGCCTCACCGGCTTGACCCTGGAGAGGAGATAATGCACTGCCTTCACATGAAAATAAGGAGGATACTACAATGGTCCAGAAATTTCTATCTCTGTAATACTTACAATATCAGAAGAATTTAATTGAGAAGCACAAGAATAAACGGGCAAAAAACACCAAAAGTTTGACCCAAATACAGCAAGTAAAAGGATGGTAGAGTAATGCTGGGTCTACACTATTCTGACGGGAAATCGGGGCCGAAAAATTCTACAAATGACCCTGCAAACTCCTTATAAAGATCTGTGTTACGATCGATTTCAAATTTTTTTGTCGCATTAAACTGGTCAATGGATGCTGATGAAAAGTCATCATGCGCCAACTTTCTACAAGCAACCAAACTCCCACAATCCACGGTTGAAGTTTCGATAATTCCTTGAATAAATGAAGGTAGTGTGGCAAGAAAGAGTAAAAAAATATCCCTCATTTCAGCACTTGAAGCCAGGTCGACCGTGAGTAGGGAAAGCAGGGAAATCCCAATGCGTTTCAATTCACTGTGATCAGCAGTCACCACCGCCCAGCAGTTGTCTTGTCTTGGATTCTGCTTATCTGTTTCCTTCACTGTCCTAATCAGTTTCTTTCTCTTTCTCTCACTCTTCTCCTTACTACATAGACATGCATTGTGTTTTCCCTTGTTTACAGTCGGCCTGTTCTCAAATGCAAAAAGAATGTAGTGTTGAATGGGTCTAAAAATAAAAAAAAATGGTTGCAGCCAAAAGGTGACAATTTTCCTAGGGACCAAAATGTGAGGCGTGATGACAGAAAAAATGATGAGAAAAGATAGAGGGGTTTGAGTGACAGAAGAGAGAAGGGAGGAATTTGGATAAGGATAAATGAGAGACAAGTTGGAAAGCCGCAGCGAGCCCAAATTGTCTTGCCTTGGAAATTTGAAGTGAGTAGATAAAGATTGGAGAGGGAGACGATTTTTTAGTGATCAGAAGGATCTTATTCTTGGCTAGTTTTATTTTTACCTGGCTCAGAGTGAGCAAGCTACTATCCTTGGATAGGGGACCTGAAGGGCCACCAGGCAAGTAGTGTGCCGGCTTCTATTTTTACGCAGGAAAGTCAGAAGGACTTTCAATACTGAATACCACTTTGTGCAATTGCACTCACTTTCATTCCAGATTCATAAATGAATCGGCTTCTCCGGATGAAGAATCTTACATAAACGTGAATTTAGAGGTGTCTTGAATTTTCCTGGATGATTTTGATAGAATTGCCAAAAGTGGATAATTTAGATTGATTCCGTGATGACCTTGATAGACTTGCCGCTCCGATTGCTACAGGTGGTTCGGCTTGCTCGCTAAGTTTGCTCCTTGACCTTGCTCGAGGCACTTGGTTCTTGGCTTCGGTTTGAGATTCCTTGTTAGCTGCTCCTTGGCCTTGGTTGACTTGCTTCGTTGCTTGGCTGGATCTGAATTCAGGATGTTCATCGGACGGCGCGTCACTCAGAAGTTAATTTCAAGGGGGCAGCGTACCAATATTTATACTGGAGGCATGAGAGGGCGTTGCCGCGAGCTTGGCTGAGATTGGTCAACGGTGGCGCTCGGTGCGAAATTGGGGGGAGCACCGCTATGCTCGTTTGAACTTGGGGGGTGCTGTCGAGACTGAGTTTGAATTGCGCGCCCGCGCGAGGCTCGTGATTGGTACCCTGCTTCGCGGTCATTCTGGGGCTGGGGTCAATGGGGCTCAGGGTCCCATTGACGAAGCTTGAATGCGGAGCTACTGCTTCCGGGTTCATCACTGTGATTGTCTTCTTTATGATTTTCATTGTGTAGGTGAAACCGTACAAAGAAGGAGGGGTCTTTTTGACTCTTTGTCGCCATGCTGCGTTTTTTCATTTAGGAATTATTGAAACTTTGATTGCGGATGTGCGAAAATGATGACTTGTAGCAAGATGGCGCAAAGATGACTTTTGATCAGCATGCGTAGACGAGTTTCATGCGATAAAAAAAAAAATGGGAAATCTATCATGGCACACATCCCTTTAAGGAGTTTGCAAAATCAAAAACATGAAGTCTAATGAGTAGCAATGCAAGACTAGGAGAGTGTTTGGTTCAGGCATATGTATTGGAATGCTGAAGGTGACGCCCAGAGACATAATGGTTAAAAAGCGAGACCTTGTATCTCCGTTTGCAATGTCGTAGACTTTCAGTCATACAATATTTTTTCCTAGGAAAACTGATCAACGTAATTTTGTGAACACTTCCTAGATTTTTCCACTCTGTTGGTTGAATATACTGTATGGATTTCAAGCTATAAAGCTGACTTGTTTTTTTGCGAAAAAATAAACTAGGAGCTAAGATTTTGAAACACTGCAATGGAGATGGCGGGTGTTCCACTTGAGCCATCAATATACGAGTTTGGTTCTTTTAAGACCTTATCACTAGATGTTAACACTGTAACACACACACATACACAAACACACCCTCACACACACCCTCACACAGTGTAACACATACAGTGGGAAAAGTTAAAAAAACGAAATTTAAACGGTCAAGCACCTTAAATTTCGTTTTTTTAAAAAAAAACATGTCCCGAAATTTGGGGACTTGAATACGTAATGTTGAGCTAATTTTGAACTTACTGAGATAATGTTGAGGCTAGGTCAGGGGAAATTGGCTCATTTTTCGAAAAAATCGTATGACCTTTGAACTGACGTATTTGGAGGTCTGAATCCCCCCTTAAAATTGGTTTAAAGTGATTTCTGCGATTTTTACTTAAAAGTGCTTACAATTTGGTAAATTTCCCCATATTATTTTTTCTTTACAATAATTTGAACCGGAGTTATGATTTTTTGAAAATAGGTCAAATTTGACCTTAGACCTATCATAACTCTGTCAAAAACCAAGATATTGATCTGTGGTTTGCTCCACAATTCTTAGTTTTTAATGTTCTTTCCAATGATGTATCACAAGATAGGGGTTACCATTTGAGAAAAGAGGTTGGAGCCCCCCCCCCCCCTAAAGGATGGTCCTCTTCGAGTTAGAAACATTCCCAAAGTTTCGTTTTTCTATCTCTGACCGTTCAAAAGTTAAAAGAGGGGAGCGGGACTTTTTGAACACCCTGTACATACTTTCAAAGTTTCTTCATGAAATCCCTCTCTTTTTCAAACGAATTAATCTCCAAACTTAATGTATTTTTTCCTTGTCCTATCTTTCAATTTTGTGTACTACCCTTTTATGACCCCTACTTTTTAATTTTATAAATTCTGTACTACACTATTATGATCTCTCCTTTAAGGTGTTAATGACCCAGATGTTAAAAGCACCATTATCTACCAACCAAACAACCAACCAACCAAACAACCAACCAACCATCCAACCAACCATACATCTACCAACCAACCATACATACATACACATAAATACATACATGCATACATGCATACATACATACATACATACATACATATATACATACATATATACATATGTTCACTCCTCTCCAATGAAGACAGTGTCAAGAAAACCCTCCACTCCTTGAAGAGCGCATCCCTTGCAAATTAAACTTGTAATCCAACACATTTTCTCCTGCTCGGTAGCGGCAGTTGCGTCTAGATGCATTCGCATCTCCAACCTGCCTGATATTAATTTTTCTCAGGTTTTTCTTGTTTTGTTGTGAGAGTTGTTCAGCAGCGATGGTAGATGACGCAAGGATCACACTTTTTGTGATGCCTCGCATCATATTCATGACGGCGTTTCGATGCCGTCTTGGATTTTGCCGAATGCTGAGTTAGGTTCACTGACAAGTGTGATCTACTGATGAGGTCTAAAAAGACCCAAAACGTTATAGATCTCTCGGCGTGACCTCAACTTAATATTCGAATGCAAGCTGCGTGAGCTGAACATCCCCCCCCCCCCCCTTGTAGTACTGGTACTCATTAGAGCTTACCGTCTAGTACTGGTACTCAAAAATTTGTTTGGACTTAAATTGGAATTTTTGGAACTTCTTGGCTTTTTTTCCCTTGCAAAATGGCGTGGAACCAGCACCATTTTACCAATTTGTTGTATTCATATATATTTAATAACAATAATAACAGCTCTACCCAAATGGGTTTTTTATTGTTATGATTTATAATTAGCCGGCTTAAAAGCTAAAACAAACGTACAAATAAAAGCTTGGCATTGCTATGATTCAATGAGAACCGATTTTTTTACGAAGTTTAGCCAACGTTGAAAGTATAACATTATATGTGTACATGCACATGAATTTGAATTGCATACATTTCCATGATCTATGACCCGAGATTGGTGCTCTTCACAAGGTCTAAGGTAAGGGTCTGACGTCATGGAAGAATGCAATAGTGTATTTTCTTCAAAGAATGCAATGGTGTGTTTTCTAAAAAAACACTAAAAAGTAGAGGAAGTAGTTAGGTTAAGGTAAGTAAGGAAAGACAATAAGATGATGGAGGACAAAAGATATATACCCTAGACGCTGCCCGGTATCATACTTATACACAAAGACAAGTTAGAAAATTTTTAATAACAATAATTACAGTAATTCTGAACCTTGTGTACAAGCCAATTCTCCTGCAGTATCTGCAATTTTAGCACAAACAAATTGAAAAAATTACCTCAACTACACTGATTAAACTGTCACTATGTCTTCGTCAAGGTCCCTTGTCAAGCACGATGAGAAACTACGAAAAGATGACTTACAAAAGCCATTTCTTCATAATAGATAACAAATCAAATACCTGAGCATGAGATTCATCAACTGTAATCCTTCACCCCTAAGGAACCTTTCTCGATTTTCCGCATTCATTAGACTCGAGCAAAGGCAATTAAATAGATTTTCCATCATCTCTGTTTCTTCACTGGAGGCTGGGTCATGCCGTTTGTAAAACTAGAAAATAAAGATTTACTTTTTCACAATCTTAATCTCTCAAGATATCATATGAGGCCAAAGTTTAAAGCTCTAATGAGTAGTGCAAGGGTGAGAGTGTTCAGCTCAGACAGATGCATTGGAATACTTATTTGGGATGGGGTTACACTAAGAAATCTTTTTATACCATATTGGTAAATCACACTTGTCACTGAGCCCGCGATTCTCTCGCCATCTGCCATCTACTATATAAACCTCGAAGACTCTAAGAAGATTTGACCGTGAGAGGGGAAACGAGTCCCGATGCACTGCGGCCGCGCGGCCTCCTCCAGTCGGTATCCATGGTGACTGGGCGGAGCCCACACCTCGCGCAGTCCACGGAGGAAAATTCGAGAGCAGACCGAGTCACCTTACTTATTAGTCATCCTTAGCCTGTCCTGTCAGACGCTTTGCTCGCCCTTTCGCGCTCTTGAATAGCGTTCTCGGTTTCTCTAGCACTCGCTGAGGAAATGTTTGTTTGCTCACCAAAACGAAGCAACCCTGGCGCAGATTTAACGATAAAAAACATTGTTAAGGGCCGTCCATAAATTACGTAAGGCTCTTAGAGGGAGGGGGGTCTCTAACAGCTTTACGGTGCTTTATGAGGGGAAGGGGGGATAGGGCTGAGCCTAACGTGAGGTTTCCGGCCTACATTTAAAGAAAATGCAAAAATTCATTTTTCGTCACGTTGATAATAGTCAGGGAGAAATACGGTTTGACCCGGAACAAATTGCATAACAATTTATTCCTGTGTAAACGTCATCAGTAGGTCCTCCTGAACAACATACAAAAAGTTTACCACGGTCCGACCCCGGAACACCCCCCAAAATGACGAAAATTCAAAATGGCGGCCATAATAAGGGCCTATGGGATTTCGGTATTTTAAAATGTTCCTAAAGTGTCATGTGAGGTTTCATTTCCTATGTAATTTTGGTCGCAGATTTCATTTCTGAAGTCCAAAAAGCCCCTAGGTCAAAGGGGGTGACCCAAATCCAAGTATGAAAATTATCAAATAAATATATCAAATATGAAATTATTTTCATACTGTTAGCATGACACGTCTCACTTATGAGTAAAATTCATCTTTTACGTTTAATTTAGACTTGTCGACTAGAAATACACGGAATAGTCACCTTCCTTGCCTTGTTCGGTGAATTTTTTTTCAAAAATGCACCCTTCCGCCTTTCAAATTTAGCCACCATCTTGAATTTCGGGCACTCCCTATAAGCAGGGGGACTGTTTTGACTTAAGACATGAAATTTACAACCAAAATTTCTTAAGAATTGATACACCTCACTCTCATTTTTTACGAAAAAATCGAAAAAATTCACCCTCCTGTCTTTCAAATTTAGCCGCCATCTTGGATTTAGAGCACCCCCTTTGACAGGGGAGCTGTTTTGACATCATTAATGAAATGCACGACCAAAATTGCATTGGAAACGACACCTCACTTGCCCAATCACGTAAAAATTGAAAAATGACCCTCTTGCATTTCAAATTTGGCCGCCATCTTGGATTTGGGTCACCCCCTGTGACCTAGGGGCTTTTTGGACTTCAGAAATGAAATCTGCGACCAAAATTACATAGGAAATGATACCTCACATGACACTATAGGAACATTTTAAAATACCCAAATCCCATAGGCCCTTATTATGGCCGCCATTTTGAATTTTCGTCATTTTGGGGGGTGTTCCGGGGTCGGACCGTGGTAAACATTTTGTATGTTGTTCAGGAGGACCTACTGATGACGTTTACACAGGAATAAATTGTTATGCAATTTGTTCCGGGTTAAGCCCTTTTTTTCCGTGTTTCTCCCTGACTATAACCGAATTCAAGATGAAATAGAGGCAATCAGCACAGCACCGACTGCTAACCGATCGGATCATGCTCCTATCATTTCTCTTAATTCCCTCTTCTCCACTCCTTGGGATGAGTAGTGACTTGATCCTAATGTCAAGTGTATACTCTTAACTATTCAAATGACAAATAATAATTAAAATCTTCAATTTTGCACCGCATGTTTTTGTTCATTAAATTAATTGTATCATTAATATTGCCTATGAACTTACTTCAAAAATTTAGTTTCACAGATAAAACTTTTGGACTAAAAACAGTAACCTTTCAATTTTGAGTTTAGTCAAAAGATCTCTTAGGAACTTAAATTAATGACCCAGCTGGTGCTTTAGTGCCCACTTTCAAAGAATTAAAAGCATTTTTTCAAAATCTACAGTCCGTCAAAGTGAGCTCTACCTGTGATTTTGCGGAACCTTTGCCATATTACCCGTATCCCTTCAATTTTGACTTAAGTCCACAGATCTTTTAGAAATTGAAATTAATGACTCAGGTGGTGTGCTTGATGCCCACTTTCGAAGAATTAAAAGCATTTTTTTTTAAATTTACAGTTCTTCAAAATGCACTGTTTGTGTGATGTCGCAGAGCAAAGTACCCCTGCCATATGGCCCGTATCTCTTCAATTTTGAGTTTAGTCCTGAGATCTTTAAGGAACTTACATTGATAACCCAGCAGGGTGCGCTTGAACTCACTTTAAACGCGACTTGAATGTACATCAAAAATTCAAGTTGGATGTTGTAGTGGGGCACTCCCTGATGGGTTTTTGGGCAATTTCGAATTAGTTTGTTGGAGCTCCTCGAAAAATAATCGCATTTTTGTGGTTTTTTAGGGGTAAAATAGCAAAATTGGCCTTGGGGCGACAAATTAAACCCCCTCTCCCTCATCCTTGCCCTGACCGATCTGAATTTTTAGTATGTTTTCACCTGATATAAGATGTGACTTTTCTGAAATTTTCATGCCCATACACAATTTTTGGCCCCCGCGGCAGCGTTGCCAAGTTGCGGACTCCTAAATATCGAATTTGATGATAAAATGAAGGTTTCAAAGTGTGATTTCCATTCATATTCAAAAATTCAAATCGTAGGTTGTAGTAGGGTACTGCCTGATGGGTTTTTGGCCAATTTCGAAATAGAGTGTTTGAGATTTTTGAAAAATAATTGAATTTTTGCGGTTTTTTAAGGGTAAAATAGCACACTGTGCACGGGGCGGCAAATTAAACCTCTTCTCTCTCAACCTTGCCGTGACCGATCTGAACTTTTAGTATGTATTAACCTAGTATAAGATGTGACTTTTCTGAAATTTTCATGCCCATACAAAATTTTTTGCCCCCCGCGGCAGCGTTGCCAAGTTGCGGACTCAAAAATATCGAATTTGAAGATAAAATGAAGGTTTCGAGGTGTGATTTCCTACAAAATTTCACGAAAAATGTGCAATCTGAGAGTTTTCGATAAGATAAAGCATATTTGAACAATTTAGAGTTGCAGCGTTGCCAGCTTCACGATTTAAAATTTGTCAAAATGATCCGAATCGCGTTGCAACCTCAAGGTCTGGATTGTTATTTCGTTCAGAATTGGTCATTACAGTTCTTCTGTACTCTATGCATTTAGGTACCATGAAAATTATGCCATTACTTACTTGATGGGTGCAGCTAACTCAACAAGAGAGGCCGGATAAAGCGACGAGTCAGTGGAAAACGAGGGGTTCGGGTTGACAGGAAGTTCTTAAATCTACTCCATCCACAGAAAGTAGAATTTGAGAACTTTCTCCAACCCCCCAAACCTTATCCCTGCTACTGTCAATACTTTGAACATTCTATCTAAAATCTTGCCCCCCAAATTTTTCCCAAAAACATGAAAAATTAAAACATAAATAAAATGAGTGGAAAACGACGATTCAAAAAAGTTTGTAAGTCCCCGAATTCGACCGTCTCTCACAGCGCATTGGATAGTTCGAATCCAGAAAATTACCGTCAACAACTTAAAGAATCAAAAAGCAAACAATCACAATAATTTTGAGTTATATTGAAATAAATTCCCTCATAAAAAAAGTAGACTAGACAACGAAATTAAAGATGTTTTGTAAATTTTGTGTCATATAAAGAGAACTATCTGTCAACCCGAACCACTCGTTTTCCACTGACTCGTCGCTTTATCCGGCCTCTCTTGTTGAGTTAGCTGCACCCATCAAGTAAGTAATGGCATAATTTTCATGGTACCTAAATGCATAGAGTACAGAAGAACGGTAATGACCAATTCTGAACGAAATAACAATCCAGACCTTGAGGTTGCAACGCGATTCGGATCATTTTGACGAATTTTAAATCAAGAAGCTAGCAACGCTGCAACTCTAAATTGTTCAAATATGCTTTTCCTTATCGAAAACTCTCAGATTGGGGGGGGGGGCTAACTTTTTTTTTCAAATGGCAACCCCCTTTTGTGATACCTCATTCAAAAGATAATATAAAAAGTAAATTTTTGGCGTAAACCGCAGGTCAAAATGTTGATTTTTGACAAAATGGCAGCCGGTCAAAGTTCAAAATGGCGGAAATTTGGCATCTCCGTTTTTTATCGGCGGATTGGTCTGAAACTCAGAATCCTAGGGTTTTACGGAACGAGAAAAACGATTCTGGCATTAGTTTTCCAGAAATGTCAGTCCTTTTCAAAATGGCGGCGGTTAAAATGGCGGCTTAGAGCGGGAAGTGGATATTTAGGCTGCTTATTGCCGGATTTGTATGAGACTTGGTATCCGGGGGTATTTCGGCACGAGAAGAACGAATCTTTCATTGGATTTTTGGAATTTTTAAAAACTTTAAAATGGTGGCAGAATTTGAATGGCGATGGTGGATGCGGATTTTCCGTTATTTCTCCGCCACTATTTTGACGATATTCAGTGTTTCCCAAAATCTAATGGAAGATTAATTTTTTTCGAGCCAAAAACCACGATGGTATTGACTTTCGTGCAAATCTATCGGTAAACAGCCTTGATATGGATTTTCCGTCATTTTTTTGCCGCCATTTTAAAGTTTTTAAAAATTCCAAAAATCCAATGAAAGATTCGTTCTTCTCGTGCCGAAATACCCCCGGCTACTAAGTCTCATACAAATCCGGCGATACGCTGCCTAAATATACACT